GTTCAAAGCTGTAGGGAGTTAGTGATCTTCTGCTGCTGTCATCTTTTTGTTTGAAGACTTGATGTGTTGTGCATTCAGAGGTTCAGTATACCTCAGTTGTATCGTGTTGTTATTTGAGTTACTTTTACCTTCCTACTAGCTTGAAGCTCTCTGGCCATTCTCCTCTGAGCTCTGGCATCAACAAGGTATTTTTCCCAGAAAACTGCTGCTCATTTTGTTAAAAAAAGAAATCAAATCTGTTTCCAAACAGAAACTGACCGTGCATCTGCTGATTCATTCTAATTGTTTCTTGAATATTATTTTCCTTTTTTTCTCCAGACACCAAGTTACAAAATAATCTAATTGTGCATGTGTGTGTTTAGCAGATGGTTCCATTCTCCTAACTTTGTTGTATTCACATGCTGTTAAGCCAGAATGTGTAATGTTTACAAAAAAAGACGCAAGGAAATATCTAAATAACATCTTGATAATCAATTCTTGTCTATTATTTCCTTTCCTGACCTTTTACTAAATAACATTTCTGACTAAACTAAGTGTGCAGGAACTAATCAATCTGATCCCTATTTCGAACGAATGACAGAAACAATGAATCATCACTAAATATTCTTACCATCAACCAGACGTTTGCCTCCGTCTGCCATGTTTGGGCTCTGAGGTAAATAACTTTGTAAGATATACAGCAGGAATTTCTCCAGCTTTCCAAGTGTGTGTGTGTGTGTTTTTTTTCCACTTTTTTTGTCATTAAATCAGCTTGCATCATGCAACAGTACAAACTAACCATCTCCTGGGTAAGACTAACTCTCCATTGTCCCATCTTTCTCACAGTGATGACTCTAACCCATTTTCATTAGTCTCTTGGTAAGTTGGAGCACCTGCCTCTATCCAATCCACATCCACGGCGACCATGGGTGCTGTTTTATCACTCCCTTTACGAGCTGTCTGCTCAGCAGTTCAATACAGTACATGTCAAAGCAGCTGTTAATGGCCTTTTTGGGGCATTTGCTATTGCACTAAAGAGCTTTTACACAACAAAAGAGCTACTTTACAAATGTGTGCTGTGTATACTTTTAGAAAGAGGGGGGGTCTGAATGTCATCTCAGGGACTCTGTATATAAGTAATCTGCTTGTGCTGAAAAATGTGAAGAACTGGCTCATTCTTACATACAACATGCATTTGTATGTCAGTGTGCCTCATCTTTGTTTTTGGTTACTAATTTCTGGACTCTTTCTATCCAATTTCTTCCACTTATCCAATTCAGGGTTTCTGTGGAGCTGGAGACTGTCAAAGGGTTAAAGGTGGGGTGCATGTCACAGGTCTGCCAGGGGGACATTTGTGAAACATTTCTGTCTGAAACACCATTGTTTCAGACAGAAATAAACAAGCGGGATTCGTACATTCATCATAAAAAAACTGCAGTTAAAACAATTTAACACCAGCGAAGCTGCACTGAACCCCCTGCTTAACACCTTCTGCCAGATGAAGAACAGATACACAGCAGACACAGTTACTTACACCGGAGAGGAATTATCGCTATGAGGAAAACGAGAAAAGTCGTTTTTAATTTGATTTTTATTGAGGCATGATTTGTTAGCTGCCATGTAAAACCAAGCAAATGTTTTCCACTTGGTTATGCCAAGTTATTTTATCACATACAGCTACACACACACACACACACACACACACACACACACACACTCTCTGACCCCCATCCTCCTTCCTCTCTCGCTCGGCATTATGGGAGCGGGCCATTTAAAAACAGAGGTATTTACGACTCAGCCCTCTCCTTTTGAGTTCCTGGAGCTCCTCTCGACATGTGGGTCTGGCAGCTCAGTTTAAAGATAGACTGGGTTTTGGTTGTGCCTATTTTATGTCACGGTCCATCTGTCTGTCTGTACACCTGCCTGTCTGTCTGTTAAAGCAGGGCTGAACATTTCCTAGTTATGCAACGTAAGTAAGGTCAGCTTAAGAAAGAAAATTGAAGCTTTTTTATATTCACAAATGTGTCTGGGCAGTCTCCTTGATTCATTGTGCCTTGGATAATCAACTCAGAAGGGATGCAGTTTACGAAGTCATCTCAAGCCACTTTACAATGAAAAAGTAAAGAACCTAAAATATTGTAAATAGAAAGTTGATAAGCATGTATGTGATAGTGGAGAGGAGTAATTCCCTTTTACCTCTTTATTGAACATGGACCTGGCAGTAGGCCCATTTACCAGTGCACTTTAAGTGAGAGCTAGAGGCCAAATCCAAACAGTTTCACAAAGAAGATAGCCGTTATGGGAAATTCAGTGTATAATAGTAGCACAAAGGAAAATCACATTACTGTTACTCCTCAATGATTTTGGGCTGGAGAAAAAAAATCCCAATGCTTCCTGAAAGATGAGAATTATTTTTACATTTTAAAGCCAAAACCAAAAATCTTGTCAGTCCGGCTCAGTCTCAGTAAAAATCTTAATATTTTCATCTTTCATCTGTTTTTATTTTTAGAAAAATATTCTAAAATTTAACTATAAAATAACACAAATGAGAAAATTCAAGCATTATTAAGGACCAGTACTATAAAATTAGCCTTTTTGTAAATATACCTATGTAGTGTTCACTGCTGTCCATGTGTATTTTAAAACCTTTTTTAAAGATTGTCTAATCAAATGGTGCCTTTTCACATTGTTTATGATTAACAACAAGGGTTGCACTCCAGCTGCAGTAATACAAGTTCTTCAGGTGTATAAACAATGTAAAAGAAATAATAAAATAAAGTGTAAGAACTGTTATGTTAATGGCTTTTCTGGGCAGATATGAAATCAAAGTGTTCCTTCCCCACACTTCACATCTGAAGGAATCTGTCACCACCCACTGGTGAACAAGGAGAAATCAGCCATCTCTGAACCACAGCTGAAAACGATGCAGTGATGAGTGAAGCACAGCAGGGTAGAAGAACAGAACAACTCTGCAGAGCCTGACCTGTCACAGTGCAGTGCTGTGCAACGTTTCCATCGTCACTTTTATCAGTAGACTTTTGGAGTGGATGAAGTCAGTGGTCTGGAGACGGCCTGTCAGATAAAGAAAAAGACAAAACACCTTCACAGGTGTTCACACTTCTACAAAGCAGCACCATTGAGGCCGGCATATAGAGTTGGGTCGTAGTCGTATGTTTTTATATGTGGCAGTTATTTAAGACAGTATCATAGCTATACCTAACTGGCCTGTCAGACACATTTATTCAAAACCTGAGAGATTATTGTACACACTTGATTTTAATGCTTTATGTTTAAAGCACTGATTATGGGTCTAAACCAGGTGTGTCCAACTCCAGCCCTCAAGGGTGTCCTGCAGGTTTTAGATATCACCCTGGGTCAGCACAACTGAATCAAATGATTTGTTCATTATCAGGCCTCTGGAGAACTTTAAGACATGTTTAAGAGGCAATTTAGCCATTTAAATCAGCTGTGTTGGATCAAGGAGACATCTTAAAACCTGCAGGACGCCAGCCCTTGAGGCCATGAGTTGGACACACCTGGTCTAAACAGTCAAAACAAAGTGGGAGATTCCAACTAGTGCCACAGTAAAGGAGGCCCAGACTGATGGTCGCTTGGCCAAAAGGTTTCTAGAAATACGATTTCACAAACACATTTGGTTAATAATTAAATTCTGTCATGTTGTTAGAAATGTCTGCGTGTTTAATCTCGTTAAATGTTTTGATTGAGAGTGTTTAGCTGCATCCATCTTCTGGGTGGAGCTACCTGCCCTAAAGGCCGGAAGAGAGGAAGGGAGCATGTGTCGGCAGCACCAATTGGTCGCAGCTGTCAGCTGAGCCCTTGCTGCTATCATTCAAGACATTCAGTGCTTTTTGTGGTTATGTTGAAGGGAATCCTCAGACATGTCTGACACGTATTTTGAAATTCTGCAACGGAGCTGCAGTTCAGGGAACTACATCCCGTCAGGTCGGCAGCTTCCCAGGACGCCGCCCTTAACAAACGTAACAAGACAACTGGATTTCACCAACTCTGAGGAACCAGAGCAGAACATGGAGGTACATAAACTTATTTTTTGTTTTTTTTTTAAATCAGACTACTTCATTGACTTGACCCATCAATGTTTGTGCTTTCATAAATAGGATGGTGTCAGAGATAAAGACGAAGGTAACCAAAAAAGGCAGGCAGATACAGGTGATCAACAGTTTTGTTTTAGATCCTTTGAAAATGATACAAATATTAAACGTTCCCATTTGGATTTTAACAGGTGTCTAATTTATTGAGCAGAAACTGAAATCATCTAGATTTTAGTTTTTGTAAAGAAAGTTTCACACTTAGGTTTTTGTCACAAAGTTTTGTCTTAATTACTATTTGCTCAGAAGAACTTCCAGAATCTCATGACCCTCACTCCATGCTGAAAGGGATGAAGGGTTACCAGCTCACTGCTGCTGACTTGGAATTTTTAAAAAAGATGAAAGAAGAGCAGCTTGTCAAAAAAATGCAGGTAGGCCTCATATATGGGCATTTCACCGTGAACAGCTATTAGTGCGCTGATACAGTTGGATGTTCTGGTGGTCCTCAGGTTAAACTAGAAGAAGTGCAGAAGCTGTTAAAAACGGAAATGGTGGCCTTAGAGTTGGCATGTGCTTCCAAGGAGAAAGCAGAGGCTGAGCTCAAGAGGGTGAGTTATTCTGAAATGCAATAGACGTGGTGACTTTCACACATGCAACATGACCTCCTATGCTGTGAGCCTCCAAATGTATCCTTTAAAAGCAACTCTTTGATGTTTCTTTACTTCTACAGTTGCTCCTGGGGCGCATCTGTCTCTTTTTATTGTCGTAATAACTCAGTGTATGTTCAAGCTTCAGTGTGTTACAGGCATCTTCACTGGCTTCTTATATTCCCCCCTAAAATAGCATTATCCCCCACCACCAAAAAAAGTCTTTACTTGAAGGGCAGCGATGGTACGGACTTGAAGTTTAAAAAGATGGATCCTTTGAATGATTCCTTCTGGCATTTACAGCCTGTTAGATAACATTCACTGGAAATTCCTCAAAATCATGGAAGCTCTTAACAAAGGTTAAGAGGCATATTTAATCCACAACATCAAACGCTAACCTGCAGACTTTAGTTTTTTTGCTTTACCAAAAAAAACAAAACACTAAACCTTGCAATAGAGACATGTGCAGATTGTTTGCAGTTGAAGTTTCACTGGAAAGGTGTTTTTAATGTATTCTGGTGATAAATCTCCTCCCTGTTCTTTGTCAGTTCCCATCTTGTATAGAGGTCACCGAGTGGGCAAAGGTGGTCCTCAGAATGGCATGCCCACAGGCTGACTTGACTGACGCGGATGCCAAATCTCTCCTATCCATGATGAAAATGAGAGACATCCAGGACGCCATGGATAAGAAGAGGGTCGAGTTGTATCAAATAAAGAAGATGGTGGCAAACAAGTAATGTCTTCCTTGGATAAAGTAATGTAAGGCCAGGGTTATGGCTCTGTCTATTCATGTTTTGCAGTAATGGTTTGCATCGCTGATGAATGCTGTCAGCATCTTGGCTTCTGAAAGAAAGAAAAAAAAAAATCCCATTACTGTTCATATATTTGACATCACAGAAGGAAGGAGGAGGCTGAAGAGAGAGGACAGATGGAAAGGCAAATTGCCAATGAACAGGTAAGAGAATATGGAGGCTGAAAACTGCAAAAATATGCACTCACTGGCTGCATCATTAAGTGCACCTTGCTGGTACTGGGTTGGACCTCTTTCAGCTTCAGAACAGACTGAATTCTTTATGGTGCAGATTCATGAAGGTGCTGAAAACATTCCTTCAAGATTTTGATCCATATTGACATGACAGTGTCACACAGTTCCTGTAGATTTGTTGGCTGCATGACTGTGATGTGAATCTCCTCATGAACACATGAAAAAGAAGCTCCATTTAACTGCGATCTTGTGACTTTGGAGGCCGTTTGAGTACAGAGAATTCATTGCCATGTTCAAGAAACCAGTTTGAGATGTTAATATTAATTGTAGTTTCCTCTTCTTAGCTGTTAGGAAGTGGCACCCAGTGTTGCCAAATATGGGTAAGCTGTTGCGAATTGTAGCTTCACTTTCCTGTTCTTTGCTGACAGGAGTGTGCTCTTCTGCTGCTGTAGCTCATCTGCTTCAAGGTTCAACATGTTGTGTGTTCACACATGCTTTTCCGTATACCGTGGTTGTTTCTGTAACAAGCAGTTATTTGAGTTAGTATTACCCTACTGTCAGCTTGAAGTAGTCTGGCCATTCATCTTTGACCTCAGCAAGGTATTTCCACCCAGAACTGTTGCTCACTAGATATTTTCTGTAAATACTAAAGATGGTTTTTGTCGGGACAAATCCCAGTAGATCAGTGGTTTCTGTAACAACCATACCACAATCAAAGTCACTTAAATCCCCTTTATTCTGATTCTCAGGCTGAACTTCAACAGGTGGTCTTGACCATGTCTGCATGCCTAAATCCATTGAGTTGTTTCCATGTGACTGACTGATTAGAGATTTGTATTTTTAAGTGGTTGAAAAGGTATCCCTATTAAAGTGGTCAGTGAGTATAGGAAGCCATCAATATATGTATAACTTGTAATGGAAAATAGTGTTTTCTATTGAATGTTTTTTTTTGTTTTGGTTTTCTCCCCTCCAATTTTTGAATAGTCAGCAGGGGCTGTCACTCAGTCCTTCATGAAGTCAACTTCTTGGTGGTAGTTAAATTCAAGAGCAGTAAAGAAGATGGCAGTCTGTCAGAAAAACCGAAATAGAACTGAGCTGTTGGGGGTTAATTTGTCCGTTTTTGCCTCCCATAAAAGAGAGGCTCCAGCCTGAAAGTCTACATTTATTGACTATTTGTATCTGTTTCAGCTGCGGATACAAGGTTTGATGAGGCAGTTGTCTGATTTGAAAGCTGAACTTGCACAGCGTGAGGTGAGGACCTGATTTAATCTCATCTTACACCCCTTCATTTATCTTTTTAAACTTGAGGTTTGGTGCCTGTATCCACACATTAACAAAAGGCTTACTATTTTTCCATTTATGTGGTTTCAAAGGAGGCCTGCAAGTCTCTGGAAATGCAGGTGAACATCACAGAAGCACCAGAAATCAAAGAAGATTTAGATGCCATTACAAGCCAAATGAAGCTGCCAAGAAAGAGACAAAAGAAAGCTGTTAAATCTACTGAAATGTTGCAAGACGCGACAAACACAAGTAAATCAACAAGGAGTAGAAACAGGGACACTCTGAAAACCTCAGCCGAAGAGCCAACCCGGTCCGGACCTCCAGGAGAGCAACAGAAAAAGAAGGTTAAAGCAAGCAGAGGGGAAAATGAGGAAGCTGAAGGGCAGGACTTAAATTCCGGAGAGTCAGTACAACCTGTGAGAGGACGAAGAAAGCCTGCTGGAACTGCTCAGACCACAGTTTCCCAACAGAAAAGTCAAAGTAAAGTGAAAACTGGGGAACCTGAGGTGCCCTCTCGTGGCAGGAGGAGAGCTGCTGCCACCACTGCAGATAATGCTGGAGAGGAGGCACAAAACGAAGGTCTGAGGAGATCCAAGAGGATCGCCAGCAAGAAGTGAGGAGGTGCACATTTTTAGCCTTATTAAATTATCATTATAACCTAATTACAAACACATTTATTCAAAGTTCAAAAATGTATTGTTTTATCAGTTTGTCATTTTAATCATAAATTTGCTTTTTTCCTATAAAAAATAAAGTGGAACTTTCTCAAAGGTAGACTTGTGTTTTTCCTCTAATAATGCAGCGGCCTCTCTCGCTTAATAGTACAGGCTTCAGCACTGGAAGCAGTTGTTGTTGTTAACTAAGCTGCTGACCAACCCATATGGACCTTCGCAATGAAACCCACCCCATCCATTATCCAGGTTTGGGACTAGCATTAAGGGCTACATTTGCTCGTGTGTCTCTGCATTTAGTTATTATTAAATTCCGGATCTCTTCCAGAGCATGTCTTTGTCCTGTCTTCCTTCCTCACCGACAACCCGTCGCAGCAGACAGCCCCTCCCTAAACCCTGGTTCTGCTGGATGTTTTATTGTAGTGCTTTTACCATAAGAAGTGCCTTGAGACAATTGTTGTTGTTGATTTGGTGCTATATAAATAAAACTACATTAAATTTAATTGAACTGTGGACACCCCATGGCTGGATTACAAGCTGGACTATTTCTGAGTGTTAATCAGTGCAGGGTGAAATGAAGTTGTTCCCCCTAAATGTGTATGTAAAATTACAAAAAAAAGAAAAACATGAAATGAATTGTTCTTACGAGAAAACTGCTCGCCTGAGAGTAAATGTTGAGAGATTTGTCAAATGTAACAGTCTCAGGGAGGTTAAAGGCTGGTCGGCTGCAGAGCAGGAGCATTAATGCTGACTTGTGGTTTCCATTTTCCCTCAAACACCTTTAGGAGAGTGAATACTTGCCAGCACTGGGGCCTGAAGCCCGAACCCTCATGACAAACCAAATTATAAGTGATGTTTAATTTGTTGTTTTAATAACTGAATTGAATATGACCGTGCAATCTTTACGGACCGTTTAACCTCGAAGGGAGAACTGAGCTGTAAACCTAGATGGACTGATCGGCACATGTTAATGTAGCAAATATTTTGAATGAGAGGTTTCTGTAGCCCATTTTTTTTGTAGGTGTGAGCTGATGTTTTATCACACCTCATCTCTCTTCCACTGTCACAGTTGGAAATGAGTCACAAGCACTGGGGATTCACTGTAATTTCCTCTCTAATAACTCTTAGGAGGCTAAACTTCAATTTGGATGCAGGCTGCCATCGTTAATCTTGCATTAGGATGGAAGAAAAACACCCTGCGCTAACATGGGAAAATGTGCTGACAGTAGGAATGTTTCATGGCACCTTCTTGAGTTACAAATAAAGTTTGATCTGACAGTTGGCTTTCACTCCTTTGCCACGATCCGCTTCACCAACTGCTGCGGTCTTAACAGCCGAAGTAACGTCTATCTGACCAACTAGACTTCTGCTATTTTTCCACCTTGGGTCTTGATCCTTGTCTTTCCCAGCTGTCTGGGAGGCTCGCTTTCAGTCTGACTGTAATCCTCGGAACGTGATGAGGGATTTCCCCCCCCCCCTTTTTTTTTTTTTCTTCTTTTCATTCTAACAGCTATCCATACACACTCAAAAACGTACACAAGCACAACTGGTGAAATTTTCATCCAGAGGTCAATAGCAGCGACCCAGCCAAGACCAAAGTAATACAAGTATAGGGTGGGAAGAATGGCTCCATATCCTGCTATTAAATTAATACTCTAATATCAATAAATTCATCCTCCAGTATATTGTGAGCAAGAGTTTTTCCTAAAATGGGTTTAGTTTTTACTGTGGACATTTTAACTTTTTTTTTTTTTTTTTAAACGTTCCTGCTCATGTTCCTCTGTGTTGCTTGCATGTGTTTGCCAAACCTGGAACCCTGAACTGCTTTTAAGAATTAAGGCATGGGAATGTTACCTCAAATACGTCAATTTTAGAAATCAGATCTTGTTTACGGACGGAGACCAAGCAGACAGTCAGGATCCTGGCCTCGGGCACTGTGGGTCATGCATTGCATACAAATTGCTCATGTGTTTTGCCTTGTGGCTGGATAAACTTCCCTCTGTGTTTAGGCACTTATGAAATGACCTCTATTTACAAAATATGCAGCACTGGTGCTACAACCTCACTGTATGTTTTTTTTTTTTCAGTTTAATACTTTGAAGTGGATCATAATGACTAAAAGGTGTTACAAAACTAGCACAATTATTTTCCATTTACTTCAGTCATCATCTTTTTGCATTAGGAGCAGACTGTCAATAATAGTTTTAAATGGATGAATTTACTATTAGCCTCCAGTAGAGGGCAGTGCTATCTACAAGTCAGTGCCTTGCAGAAATAGAACTCTCTTATTATTATTTTTGACTCTCATACCTGCACTTCTGTAAATATCTATGTTAAATTTCTCCTTGTTTTTTAATAATTATGTTTTGGGACTATTAGATGGGCAAAGAAAGCATTGGTAAGAAGTACTTTGTTTAAAATTCTTAAGATAGACTTTTACTTAAATGTGTGTTGGGTGAATTTTGCCAATGTGTGAATGTACTGTAATTAAGGAGACCCTTCCTGACTCTCTCAGGACAAATATCAGTGACTCTCTTCTACTTCTACAACCCGATATTACAGCAAAGTAATGCAACTTAACCGGGTGTGTCCATTTCACTCCTAGGAGAGGTAAAGCGTGGCTCATCCACATAATGAGCCAGCAGGTCTATTACGTGCTTTGCTGTGATACTGGGTTGGCTTCCATCATCAACAGTGAGCAACACTGGTTAATAGTAGCTCACGATTTAAGTCCACTGGTCAATTATTACAGCAAACCACCTCCTTGTACAACACTCCAATACAAACTTCCCATAAGGACAACAAAACCAAAAACCTGTGTCAAAACAACCACAATGACAACTTTTAAAAACTAGGTTTAGCCGTCTAGCTTTTATTTCGGGTAGCAACATTACAGACATAGTAAAAAGAAAGGACACTTTCTTTAAATTCTGAGGTTTTATATGTCAGGATCTGATAAACTGATATCCCAGTGTTGGTGATATTCCTACATCATCATAACAATTTTAGTCCAGGATCAACACCAGCCAGTCATGTTATCTGTGTATTTAGTTAGCATTAGCCAAAAAGGTTAGTGTATTAACCATGGTTAATACACTAACAACCAACATGAGTGACCTAAATCTGGATAACAGCTAACCTAACTTGATAATATATCTGTTAAACTGTGTAAATTTAAAAAAAAAGAAGAAGAAGAAAACATTTGATATGGAAGTTACAAGTGAGTTTTATATAAACAAATGGAATTTTTTCTACCACATTTCAAAGCTATGGCATCACCAGAATGTGATTGGTCAATTGCAATGTTAATCCTAGACCAATGTTTTTATGATGCAGGAACAACACCAACACAGTGATATCAGATACACCTATCAGGACAGTTTAAAAGATGAATATAACCTCAAATGTACTAAAAAGTGTGACATATTACACCGGAGTAAGTAGTAGCCAGATGCTGCTAATCAAATACAGTTAATTAACTGATCATCAGCAAATGTGAGTGAGTGCTTTTAAGTTTTGGCAGTTTCCTGGACTGCAGCATGCAGGTGCATGTTACCACAATGCCAACTAGAAAAGACAACAGCAATTATCTTAGAGAAGTAATTGTTGCTGCCCGTCAATCTGGGAAGGGTTACAAGGTTATTTCCAAACAATTCGACATTCATTGAGACAGATTATTTATAAATGGGGGATATTCAAGACTAGCAAATCCCAGCAAATTTCCTCCAAGGTTCCCCAAGGCCTCTTCTCACAAATTTACATCTGAACAAGCCACAAAACTACTGGACGAATGTCCTTTGGACAGAAAAGATCAAAGTGAAGATGTTTGGCCATAATCAACAACATTGTGTTTGGAGAAAGCCAAACACAGCACGGTGGTGGAGGCGTGATGATTTGGGCTTGTTTTGCAACAACAGAACCTGAGCACCTTGCAGTCACTGAGTCGACCATGAACTCTGTATACCAAAGTTTAGCTGAAATTGGATCAGAACAATAATGGATTGCATTTATAAAGCGCTTTTCGAGACCCTCAAAGCGCTTTACAATTCCACCATTCATTCACTCTCATATTCTTACACTGGTGGAGGCAGCTACAGTTGTAGCCACAGCTGCCCTGGGGCAGACTGACAGAAGTGAGGCTGCCATATCGCGCCATCGGCCCCTCTGGCCAACACCAGTAGGCAGCAGGTGAAGTGTCTTGCTCAAGGCCACAACGACCAAGATAGACAGAGCAGGGGCTGAACCAGCAACCTTCCGGTTACAAGATGAGCTTCCCAACCCCCTGAACCACGGTCGCCACTATGATCACAAGCACAGCAGCAAATCTACAAAATAGCAAAAAAGAAAACAATGGTGTTGTAATGGTCCAGTCCAAGTCCCGACCTCAGCATTCCTACACAATAATGTGACAGAATGATTAAGTCATACAGATATTAACTGCTTCAAGTTACTGATGATCGAGGGGATTTTATAAGGTATGGGGTATGTCATGTACTTAGTTTTTCACACCCTGCTTTGCATTTTTTACAGAATAAATACTAATACTGCATTATGTATTATATACTGTATTATGCCACATGTTGTTGTTCAACCGATAATTTTAAGACCTGATAAGGATTAGATATTTTTTATTATATCCTAATATGTAAAACATTACTTTTGAAAGAAGGTGTACATTTTTTTTACCAGGACTAGCTAAAAGCTAAATGGAGTCCAATTAATGTCTGTTGTTTACAGTGGGTAAGAACTCAGAAGTGAATACTAATCCTGGGTATATTTTTAAAAGCATGACACTATCTACATGTTACTTGCTTCCACCACATACTGGCCCTTTTTTGCCATTACTGTTTCTGAGTTTACGCACATGTATAGGTGAGGGTAATGGTCCTTCATTGGAAGATGCTGTCAAAAATGGATGATGTGTGATAAAGGCAATAGAGAGCTAA